AAATCTGACAATTTACCTCTATAGATCGCAAAGATACAAGTCCCAACATCATATATCATAGTGCTTACAAATATATCATGTACTTACCAAATAATTTATTGATCTTCAAACTATTCAGTATCAGCGCGAAGTCACAGAGCTCCCATGATGCAACAGTAGAACACATTGCCTGAACCCGAAGATCATGCCCCGTTTAGCATGATCGAGGTACGTGGTAAAAATACTGATATCTTTATTGCAATCATAATCAAATCAGGATATCAAACAAAATACGAATAAAGGTAACATTCTGACAAACCAACATAATACTACTACTTTATTGACATCAATTTAACAACATAAAAACAACTTTGTATTAAATGCATGTAATTTATAGTCCATCTTAATCAGAATCTGCACATTTTCGGGTTTAAAATAGCTGCCAAACGCTCAAAATTGATCTAATCTCAAAACAACTTCACGTGCATATGTATACCTTCATGACATGTATGTGTACCAAATTTGAATGGAATCCATCAAAGTGTGTCTGAAATATGACGATGCACGCACGCACACACGCACGCACATAACCAAAAACACTACTTCCCGTTTCGGACTACCGTCCGAACGGGAACTAAAAAATGTCTAAAATGTACCAGTATATTTGATAAGGAATGTCAATCTGATTAAAATAAGATCCTAGTTTGGGCTTTATTTATTAAATTTGTGTTTAATTATTTATTTGTATTATACATTTTCTTTTACTTTCTTTTATTTTAATTTATTATTTATTTGCTGACAGTATAAGAGTTTGGGTAATCACGAAGCGATAGCTAAATACAAAATAAGATGTACATAGTAAATAAAAACGCCGTACATCAGATTTTACTTAGATTGGGAAATGTATGCCTTCAAGGAGACTAGACTAATACGAAAACCGTCATAGTTATATGCTTAAAGTAGAAGGGTCGTCACCTGCGCATGCGCGGGAATTGAGTCCCAATCGACGATAACAACACACGCCAAGAACGCAAAAGCTCATGGGTAGATGCTTGTTTGTAAATAATGACACGCTATGGCCACCTGGCGCATGCCTAGGTGACGACCACCCCGCTTTAATTATTATGCACATTTGCAAATTCTGGTGGATTTGAATAATGCGTCCTTACTCACCAATGGCGCCAATGATGGCATTTGAAAAATAGTTCCATCGGCTCCTTCACCGTCAAGTGATGCATAATTAAGGTTTGAAGCAGCAGTCGTGAAGCCACACATAATAACGTTTAATATTAATGTTGAGAAGACGTGTAGTACAATTATACCAGTGTTGCTAAGATCAAACAGATCATACAATATCCATCCACATCTCCAGAGTAAAATGGATTCAACAAGCCGAACCACATTCCACAGATTCTCATACAATATTCTGGCTTTGACGCTATATATATCTTGCAATGTAGGAATTGCGAACGGGGTGAGCGTAAACGTCAGTTGGACTAGAATTATCGCGATTGCAAGGAATATTGAGAAAGATACTAATTCATTTTCGGGGTAAATAAAGTGGTCAAGTAGCGTCCAAACACTTTGCCATGTTAATCCACCAATCGCCGTTAACGCCACAGATATTATAATTGATATCACTCGTAAAACAAAATTACCTCCACGGGCATAGAAACGAGTTTTGATACGATAATAATCAATCTCGATGTCAAGATCAAGCGTCACTGGCGACGATACTCCGGTGTAGCTTACACGTGTACTCCACAGTATTACGTATGATATTATCCCAACGTAGACATAAACCAGTTTGGATTCGCCGATGTAGAATTCACAAATTCCCCAAGCCCCTCTCCATAGGCTGACCACAGCAAGAGAAAGAATGTATACATACATCCGAGGCACAGTGTACCATGCAAAATTTCTTCGCTGGATGTTGCCGATGAGAACACTCTGCAGTGGGATAAAAAGAGAGGGGACCACAAACCCGACACATATGGATATTAGAAACGTATCAGGTTTCCCAGTCGATGAAAGTATGACATCCATAATCGTCCAGGTGCTCCACCAGAATGCGATAGTTAAAGGACCAATAAGAACGATGACCGCCCATGCATCTGCAAACGTCACCATCAATCCTCTCACCAATGGCGTACACCTACTCACCTTCGAAGCTACCTGATGCTGCCTATCGCTCATGTTTAAAAAATACGTTGCTGCCACTCGGACGTCGTTATTAGAAACACCATGCATTAATTATCGAATGCATGTTTGTGTATTCGAAAAAAAAAAACAGTTTCGAAGACGATAACAATCAAAGTAGACTCAAAGCGTCATTCGGTGAACTAAAAATTGAAATAATTCCAACACCGATAGCGTGACTCAATTCTATTTTTAGCAGACCTGAAATAGACAAGTATATGGTTTGCAGAATGTGCAGGTACTTGTTTGACGGCAATGAAAATACGATTTAGACTCGATTTGTGGCGCTTATAGACCATTTTCCGCTCACTGCGAGAATCACGCGTTATGCGTGAAATCGAACGTAAAAACAGGACAAACAAAGGTCATAGCGTCGTAGTCGCGTCAAACATCGCGTGGGATTCGACAAGCGCGAAAGTATTTCGGGGACATTTCCATGCTTAATAATGTGCTGTCCACATTTGATGATAGACAATTTCGATTAAGTAAGGGTATTCGGAAGCAATATTCCTCTGTCGCAGATCGGCCGGTCAATGTAAGCTACGAAATAAAGAAATTCTAGTTCAAAATCAAATCGTTCGATTTTTGCGGCAGACGTTCGACGCGCGTCTTTCATGCATCTCGCGAGATCTCGCAATTGTACGGAAAATCACCTATTCGCGGATAATAAGGTGTTTTATTGCGAGTGGCTGTATTTATATTTTCATCAAATACCATACCGTGACGCTATCTCCGACATTTCCCGCGAATGACCTTTTTTTATCATGTGCGCAACTCCATCAGGACGAAAACACTGCGAAGTTTAGGGCGTATATTATTCCGTATTACAAGTATACATTTTAATATACCGTTAAGGATATGTTCTCATCGCTACAACGCAATGTTTTCCCATATCAGTGGCTTAAAATCATTGGCCGACGACGTTTTGCCTCGCTGATATTTAATAGTATGCTGTATAGAATGTAATAAGAATGTAATCGGCCCGCGGAGGTTGACACCCCGACGGTAGAGACGAAGAGTAGGTACGTTAGTAATATAGCTGAACCATCTATGGGGATCATCTTGTGTGCGTTTGTGTGTAAGTGGAGCCATTAAGGAGATGAGTACTCCATGGGAACGCGGCATTTACGACTTTCATTTGCAATGTATTGTTCGGAAAATTAGCATATTCAGATTAATAGCGTGCTATTTCATTTGCAATGTATTGTTCGGAAAATTAGCATATTCAGATTAATAGCGTGCTATTTCATTTGCAATGTATTGTTCGGAAAATTAGCATATTCAGATTAATAGCGTGCTATTTTTATCAGCCAATGAACGTCACGAGCACCTACTGACCGCTGATGCGAAATATCTGCACGATTCTCAGACAATTGAAGGAACCAACTAAAATAGGAAGGTAACCGGGTAACGAGAAAGAGAATAAGCATGAGCCCCACAATTCATAATGAGCATGTCAACTTTGTCACAGTTGTGATTAAGGTTCCCGATTAATTATACATGTTCTAAATTTGTCTCTTCTGTAATGTTGCTGGTTTCTCGTCAGTGCTGGGAATAAGCTGAAATACGTACTTTGTACTCGCTCTGATCAACATAATTCTGAAACTTGATTATCGGGCATTTTGTTTACGAATTGTGAAGCTGAAAATGTCGATAACGGAAACGATGTACGATGACGATCGCCAGTGACTGTGACAATACGGTCGCCGTTAGGGAAATAATAGTCTTGAATCTCGTGTAAATTCTTGAACATCAAATAATAATCAGACGCGACTGACTTGCCCAAAATATAAACGACCTTTGTACTCACAAAGTGCTGAACAATATAGAGTTAGAATACTATAACGAAGGTGTATATCGAAATGACTTCACATCTTTGCCAGAGAGGGCGGTGTTGTAAACTATCTTAGCTTCAGCTGGTTTTAGGTATATTGTGTGTAATTTGGGTTATCACCAACATACCATAAAGTATGAACAAATTAATGGCAGTGCGGTGATCATATCGATAACTCGTAGCGAAGGTCAATGTTATACCACCAGAGACAGCCTGGAATCCACCCGTTCAGAATGCCCTTCCCAGGGCACTCAAGAATGGTCTGGTGACTCGCTTTCATGGTGTCAGTACCTTATCATGGG